TTTATCATATCTCTCTTTACTTTTTACTTTGTTTTCAATTAACTTCTCTCTTGCTAATTTATGTGACACCTGCATACTTTGTTTTAAATCATATAAATAATCATCATAATTATACTGTGGTTCTGGCTCAGATTTTAATTTAATGGGTATTTCTAAACTTGAAGCTGTTGTCATATCCTCAAAAGCATCTGTTAAATAACTCTTAATATATGTCCACTTAGTCACATTTTTATACTTTATCATTTCCAACGCTCTACCTGATAACCTAGTAGTTATATATTTAACCAAAATTGGTGCATTTTTCTCTTCAACTAAATTCACTGCCATATCACATGCATTAATAAATGGATAAATGTCATTTTCTCCTGTACACAAAGGTATTAGTTTAAATGCTTCCTCTAATCTTATGGTAACCATATTTTTTACACGCCGTTTCCTTTCAAATGTTAACGCTATATGCTGAAAACTATCTGTAACCTTGCTACGTGTAACTTTTTTACTGTCTAGGCTTAAACCCCGTCGAGTCGGCTTGCTAATAGCGCCTCGACGCTCCGGGGGTGCTGGACCCGAGGCGCACGACCGCGTGGACTCACCGAGGACTCGCGCTCGCCCGCACCGGGGAAGGCACACTTGAGGAAGGACTCGTGGTGGTTGTGGGAGTACCGCCTTAGTAGAAGGGGTTTGACTCAGGCGATAATCCGTCGGGCTCTGGCCGCGGCGGTCACTCATTATGGCGCCCGAGGTGAGGCGGCGCCCCGGGTAGGACCCCCGGAGCAATCCGGGATTACTGCCCGGAAGAGACAACCCCGCGGTTATGTAAAGGGGCTGAGTGTCTCCGGGGCAACCCGGAAGAACTGGTCGACCCCGCAACACACGGAAAGATGTCTAGGCTTAAACTTCTATTTAAGCTGGGCTTTAAATTCGGGCTAGGGCTAGGGTTTTTACTAGGGCTTCCTAAATCAATCAACTGTTGGGTTTTATTTAATAATTCCAACTCTGAAATATCTGCAGATGTTTTATTCAATGGATTAGCTACTTCCAAAAGAGATGTACCTGTGTTCTCCATAAATTTCCTTCACACTCATTTGATACGTTTTAAATCAATAATAACTTTTATATATATATACCCTTTAATAATCAATAATAATTCTCAATAATAATATTCTCAATAATATATGCCCTTTAATAAATTCACAATAATAATTCTCAATAATTCACAATAATAATTCTCAATAATTCACAATATAATTCTCAATAATAATTCTCAATAATTCACAATAATATATGCCCTTTAATAATCTCAATAAATTCAATAATATACTTCAAAATAATTCAAATAACTCAATATGCCCTCAAAATAATATAATAATCACAATATCTCAACATAATATACCCTTTAACAATAATAAAATTCAATAATATGCCCTCAAAAAAAAAAAAATTACGACCTACTTATATATATTCAGTTTCTTAAGTGATACTTCTAGGTTTTATACTTTTGTAACATATATTGTGTAATAAATTAATTAACTGTTCACTTACAATAATGCCATGTTCTGTGATGTTGTCATCTTGTCTGATATACTGCAACGTTGTTGTTGGTTTTCTCTTCTGGAGTTATCAGCAAAGAAAAGTGATCAAGTCTTCCTTGTTGATGATAGCCTTTGACGGTTGCCTCCTTGAAAAGTGTATCCTACCGACTGCGCCAAAATTGTTGCGTGCCAATATCAGATCCAGATCCAAGGTGTTATTAAAATGAATTGTACAACTTTTAATTACAATAATGTTTAATCTGTATAAATAAAATACATGTAACTGATATAAAAAGTGGCTGAGTGTCGTGCAGTTGCTCTGTTCTTCGTAGCTCTGGTACATCTGCCCTTGTTGGTCTTCGGACTCCCTTATATACAAGAAAATCTCTTGTTGTTGTAATCGTCAACCTTCCAATTTAGATTATTTCTTGGAATTGTTTTCACATTTGAAACAACAATCTCCAAGATGTTATCGTCTTACTGGCAATTCTTGTAAATGCAAAATGACCTCGCCTAATAACTACTATTTTGATTTATTACAATGTTTTTACAAAATATGAATCTAATATTCGTATACATTATAATTATTAGATCACATATATATTTAGATTACTATTACTAACACCTATAGCAATATTACACATTATATTACATATTAGCATATCTCGTAACTCATGAATATTATATTGTGATATATTTATATTATTAGTATATCTCGTAGCCCATAACAGTGCGATTATATTCGCTTCTACCCGTGGTTTATCTATTGTTAACGCGTGTGTTAATTCGTGTGCAGTTTTTTTTATTCTAATGGAAAGTAGTTTACTGCAATGCTTCTTTAACGACGAATGCACAATGTCGGTACAACGTCGTAGTTTAGGAAGAGAAGAGGTTTGAGTTTGAATAATATTAATATGTAACTTTAAGTATTTATTAAATATAAAATAACTTTAAAAATATAAACTTATAGAAGTGTTTCGACTTAGTATTGAAATACTAAACCGGAGAGACTATGTGTGTGGAACGTTTCCCTAGAGGCTTTTGGTAAGCATGGGTGAAACGTTTGTATATGAAATACTCTCTGGAGCTCTCTGTGAAGAGGGCTCCTATTTATGTGAGACATGCCGTGATTAGGAGAGGATGATTGACGTCACGGTATGTGCTAAAAATGTATTAATTTAATCTAAGCCAATGAGAAAACCATGTTTGTGGCCTGTTCAGGTGGTGTGATAATGTTTTCGCAAGTTGAACTTTGATCCTATGTTTTGACGTAAACAGTCGGTTTACTACAATCCTCAGCCCAATCTGCTTCATTTTGGTGGGGTTGTGATGTATTTAATAACCTCCCGAAAGTTGGTAAGCCATATTCAGGGGGTATCCGGGGCCATACTATGTTTAACGTACTTGGTGAAATGGGTGACAACGAACGAAGCCATTCATCCATCTGTGATTGTCGTTGTGGCGAAGGAGAAAATACCATGTCGTCTATCCGACTCTGCGCGTATGTTCCCGGTCTTGGAGATGGTGATAATACCCTAATTCAATTATTTTGAATCTGCTACTCTTGAACCGTAAAACATCTATAAATATTTTTTATTTATACATGAGTCAATCGTTCTTGGGTTCATCTTCCCTATAAAATTAAAAATATTATAAGTAAGATAAATTAAAATATACAATTATTTTTTAACTCACTCCATAGAGTAGTGCCGTGAGCTAAGGTATGTATTTTATCCTCAAGTATAACCCTCTTGTCATCGAAACTATTATAAGATAATTTGCTTGATTTAATGGTCTTCAATTTATGTTTGAACGAGCGTTAGGTTTTGGCTTCACCAAACAGACATCGATAATGGTCTTTTAAGTTCATATGGTTTTTAATCACATGTCCACGGATTCCTTTCGCGCTGATATTCTCCTTGCCATTGATCTTATATGCATAAGACTTGGCTCTGAGAGCACAAAACTCTGCCATAACTTCTGATTTTTTTCATAGGAAAAGAAACCTGGAATTTTCTTTTGTTCGGCAATTTAACACAGATGATCTTGTGGTAAGTCAGATGTATCCATTCGTTCAAGTAAATTGGAATTATTCTCCAGATCTTTATAAAAATCATCAGTTTGGATATAGTATACCAGTAAATCTGTAATAATGTTATTTATTAATATACACATATATATATATATATATACATGAGAGTAGTTTTATTATATTTACCTGTGTCTGTGTACATGAGCTCAATTTTAACTCCATTGCGCCTTCATCACATTATAATGATAATCGTACATGACCGTCTTGGAAATTTCCAACACAGCAAAACCTGTTTAAAATTATACATATTAAAATATAGTTATTAATACTAAATTAAAAGTGTTTATTACCTATAAAAATAGGCTTGTAAAATTCAATAATTTTGTTTTCCAATGATACGACATTGAGAGTTTCATTATATGTAGTACAGTGTTTGAATGTTGTAAGGTTTATAAGTTTTTGTAAACGTTTTTCACTACAAACAAGTTCCATTTGTATTCTCCGTCTTACAGATTCCATAGTTTTTCCTTTAACGTTACAGAAAATGTTAGTAAAAGAATTAAAAAAATATTACAAATAAATATATCGAAAACAGCATTATTTAAAAGTTTAAACAGGTCCTTTTCGAAATCGTTTCTCGCTTTCTTGCGCATCTCAGTGTTTAAATCTATGTATTTCTTAAACCAGTCTAACTGATTAAACTGAACAACTCTGTGATCCTATAATTATACAAAAATATGTTATAAATAAATAAATAAAGAAATGAATAAATATGTTACTTTTTCCACAACGAGTCCGTTGGCTATGGCCTGTTGTAGGTTCCGGTAATGAATCACATAGTTTTTCTTTGGTTTTAAAGTCGCCATAAGTTTTTTAACTTTTAAGCCAGTTGGAATACTGTTTTTCGATAGGAATGGCAATTAATTATGTTTGTCATGAAGTACTTTTGGATATGATATATCAACCTCGTATATCCGTCCGATTGGTGATCTATCATGTAAATCATTTAAGTCCCCTATTGTTGGTTCAACCCACTTAAAGCCTCCGTGTGGCATGAATTATGATATAGCGTAACCATACAAATTGTTACCTAGAATTTAAAATAATTTATTAAACAATATATATTAAATCAGATATAAAACTATACTTACAATCCTGATAAACAAGCCATGATTTCGGTTGTGTCGAGTCATAATCTAGTGTCTTTTCACAGAGGTCTGGAAAATTTTCAAACACGTCTGTCATCAATAGCACATCGATTTTTAAATAAAGGTAGTGTTTGACAGTTGAAATGGTTCCAAACTGTCTTTGTATGTTCGTAATCTTCATCTTTCATATGTGATTCTTCCAATGAACTGTAAAAATCTACTTTTGTCGGTATACTGGTTTCTTCAAGTTTATCCCAATCATCTGTATAATCATACGGGTATACCCCTTTAGTCTTTACGGGTGACTAGTGGTAAATCCTGTGTAGAAAAATGTTTGGCATTATCTCTAAATTTTTCAACTCTGGGTGTAATTAAATTTTTTGAAAGTGTTGATAAACTAAAGGCCATAAATCTTAGTGTATCGATACTATTGTGAAGGAGTTACTAATGTATTTTGAAAACGAAATAAACTTTTCTTCACTTTTTGGCATTACCGAAATAGAATTTGTATCATAGTCAAGACGGGTGACAATAAAATGTGCGGCATAATGTGATAAGTTATGGAAAAATATCGGTACGAAGTTAGCTGTTTGAAGTTTAAGATTACACGTATTACATAATGACTGTCTACATTTTCCTGATAAATGACAGTGATCAGCAACTTTATGATCATCTTGAGAAAACTTGGTTTTACATAAATTACAAGTAGTACATGATTCATGTGTTTTCCGCTGTTCGGCGGTGTAAATTATAGGGGTGTTTGTTTTTAGTAGTTTTACAATTTTTTCTGCAATTTCCACAATACTGTTACAAAATGTTTCGCCACATCCTTATTATTTTCATTTCCACAATAAATTATAGGTGAAGTTGGAATTCTGAATTGTTCAAGCTGCTCAACGGGTATGTCTTCATATGCCTTGACAACAATATCATAACTCATGGCTTCATGTTCTTGAAAAGCTGTTGTTTTTTTCCAATTTTCTCATCACTTTTCTTGAGAATTGCTTCGAAATCCGCGTAAATCACTATAGGATGACGTTGCGTTTTATTTCAATCAGTAAACTTGAGCATATGCAATAATCAGTACATTTTTCATCAGCAACCGATTTAATAGTTACAACTCCTCCACTTTATCTGATTGTAATCGAATTCATAACATTGACGCGGATTCGGCGCTCGAGATGATCTCGTTTAAATAAACACAAAGTTAACAAACCAGACACCAGAAAGAGAACCACCGAATAACGTCTTCGTTAACGATTAATTTATTTTATAATAAAATAAGACCGTAATACGATGTGTTGCAGACAAAACAACAGTACAAACATATATTTGCCTATACAAAAAATACAACAGTTACCGGCGACGATTATAATAGCACCTTCGGGTATGGAAGATAAAGATAAAGTGAAGTCGTTGCGGGGACCGGTACTCGTCTCGCACGACTTGTCTTCCAGTACCGCCTAGGCCTTTACGACATTGGTAGGAGAGTTGACAATATCGTGATTTTACCTGTGTTGGTGATGGTGATAATGAAGACCGGTCGCTGCGGTGTCTGTACTTTGTACTGACGACCGTTGCGTACCATGTCAACATCTTTTGCAATTTTTTCATTTTGTATTAATTGGGTAACTTTTTCTTGATAAGAAATATTCTATAAAATCAAATTATAAATTTATTCTTTGAATATCTTATAAAATGTTATACTACTCACTTTTTTTGGTTTTTTTTTTAACGTTTTTCTAATTTTCACATCTTTCCTTTTTTGACCGGTCAATTTCGTCATCGATTTAATTTCTGGTTCCATAATTTCAACCTATAAATAAAGTAAGCGATTAGTTAATACCTAGTTTGTTAAAAATGTTATGATATGTTATACATTTTTATATTTAAAAAAAATTATTTATTATTAGTATTAAATATTTAAATTAAAATCAAACTAAGTCTTAAATATTGTATTTTATATATATATTTTTTTACTTACATCACTTGTAGAAAAGCATTCTTCTTCATCATCACTTTTAACTGAATAACACGACATTTTTTTTTATTTTAAAATAAATTTAATAAAAAATAGAAAAAATTTCGAGTACGAAAATAAGAGACGTGAGGACGGTGTAGACTCAATGAGGTATACTGTGTACACTGTGTTAGCTAGTCTCCTTATATGCTATGTTTGCTATGTTAAATAACAATCAGAATTCTACAGGTTTTTTTATAACTTTTAAAATATATAAATTCGTCATCTACTCCTTCTTCAAACATTATAGGTCTTCCTAATTTATTTTTGTTACACATTTTTTTATGACTAATTAATTCCGATTGACCCCAAAGTTTGCTTTTACATTTTTTATTACTGAAAGTTGTAAAACATCTCTTACAAATTATTAACTTATAACAATTTTTAGTTTTCTGGCTCCTAATAAATTTTGAAAAATTGATAATATAACTATAATGTGATGTTTTAAAATAACTAAATAAAAATAAATCAAAATGATTAATTTTTTCCGAATCAGCAATGTATAATGGAAAAATAAAATTTTTATTATTTAAACTATAAACATTTACTGAAACATTATTTAAACGTTCAAATATTTTTATCTGTTTTATCGGTGTCGGAAAATCAATACATTTAAAATTTAATCCACTCTTTTTTTCTAGAAAATTAAAATATACTTGGTTAAAACGAGATTTATTTAAACGCTTATCATATTTACTTAATATAGAATATTTAAAACAGTAATTATCCTTATTTTTAACATTAACAATCGCTTTTTTTTCTTTTATAAATAACGGTAAATCAATATATGAACTTCCTTTTAGAGGGTTTACTAAATTAATTCTTAACTGTAACCCATCTATTGATACAAGAGACCAACCTGAACCTTTTGCAATAAATTCTGATTCCTCAGTTAATATTTTTTGAACATACTATTTAGTAAACTAATAAAATCAGATGAATTGCGTGCTAAAATATTTGATGATTTAAAAGCTATATCTTGAATATCATGGGTTACCGGACGTTCATAAACAGCATCAACATGTAAATTAAATTTGATTGCTGTTTTTTGTGATGACTTTTTTAACTTTAAAATAAGCTTATCTATAATATAACTAAAAAAAAATTTATAATCCACATATTTTTGATTGTTCTTTATAATGAACGTTTTTGAACATTTTTTAAACCTTTCGATTTCGATCAGTCCGCTTCCACTCGTATTCATACGTTAGTATTTTGTGATTATTGATCTTTTCATACTTAAACTAAAAAAAATAAATAAAAACACTTTTTTCTTTTTAAATGTATATAAATATAAAGTTTATTATGTAAATTATTAAAAAACATTATTTTTAAAAGAATAATTCACATAGTAATATAATCATTTTTTTTAACATTAATATATACAATCAAAATGTAGATCAAGATTAAATAATTCTGATAATGGTTTTAGATTATTACGTAATAAAATACAGGTATCACTGTAATGAGAATAACGTTCCCTCAGACTATGAATACTGTAAAGATCATAAAGCTTATAAAATTGAATAATAACTTTTATTTCATTTTGTAATATAATTATTTGTTCATTTAAAATTTTAATTTTTTCTATATCTAACGACTTTTTAGCCAAGTATTTTTGGTATCGTATATTTTTTATTTTTCTTTTTATTAAAACTATTTCATTATTTTTTTCTATCTCCGTTTGAATTTCTCTTTCTTCTCCATCAGCTATTTCTTTCCTAGTTTTTTGGATCTCGTTTTTGAGGAAATTGATTAAATCCATTGCTAAAAAAATCAATTTATTGATATATCTTTTTTTTTCTGGTAATACTTCGTTCGGTTACGTATTGCTAAAAATAAATAAACATTTTTCTTTTAAATGTATATAAATATAAAGTTTATTATGATATTAAAAACATTATTTTTAAAGAATAATCATAATAATATAATCATTTTTAACATTAATATATACAATCAAAATGTAGATCAAGATTAAATAATTCGATAATGGTTTTAGATTACCGTAATAAAATACAGGTATCGATAATGAGAATAACGTTCCCTCAGACTACTAATACTGTAAAGATCATAAAGCATAAAATTGAATAATAACTTTATTTCATTTTGTAATATAATTATTTGTTCATTTAAAATTTTAATTTTCTATATCTAACGACTTTTTATGAAGTATTTTGGTATCATATATTTTATTTTCTTTTATTAAAACTATTTCTTATTTTTCTATCTCCGTTTGAATTTCTTTCTTCTCCATCTTCTTTCTTTCTAGTTTTTGGATCTCGTTTTGAAATTGATTAAATTCGCTAAAAATCAATTTATTGATTATATCTTTTTAAATAAAAGTTCGGAACAGTTTTCGTTAATAAGTTTTTCATTTTGTTTTGCAGATTTATTTCATTTTTGTTAAAAATTTGACATTTTCAACAATTCCGAATCGATTATTCAGTTTTACAATAGTGTGGAATAACATAGAATCTAGTATCTATTGACTCTTAATTCAGAAACTCAATATCTAGTTTTAACTGTTTATAAGGATTTAAAA